GCAGGCGAACTCGGCGGTGGTTCTGCTCGACAGCGGCTGCTCGCACCACCTGATGGGGACGAAGGAGGTCTTCGTTGACATGGGGCCGAGTGGCGACGTCAAGCACGTGCACGACTTCAATGGGGCGCTGCAGAACGTCCAGGGCCGCGGGACCGTCGCTCTGCAAGGCGAGGCCGGGAAGCAGGTGCTTATCCCCGGCGTCCTCTACGTTCCGGGCGTACGGGCAAACTTGCTGTCAGCCGGACAGCTGCAGGAGAGCGGTGTGAAGCTGCAGGGCAACGGCGACAAGATGCTGCTCGTCACGACGGCGGGGGACGTGCTTGGTCGGGTGAAGTAGACTGGCCGAGTTCTCTGCACCGACTTGCAACCCTGCACACCGACGTCGACGACGGCCAAGACGGAGACGGTGGCCCTGCGGACCATCGCCACGGCGACGAAGTCGACGCCGGCCAAGTGGCACGTGAGACTTGCACATGTCGGCGTCGACACCATCACGAGCTCGGTGAAGCGCGAGGTCGCCACCGGCCTGGACATCAAGCCGTCGGCCTGCGCCGATTTGACGTGCGTCTCCTGCGTCGGGGGGAAGGTGGCGCGACATACCTTCCCCGACAAGGGTTCGGACACCGAGGACGACCTGGCCGTCATGCACATCGACCTGTGCGGGCCGTTCCGTTGGGCCACCAAGGATGGCAGCCTGTACTTCTTGCTGCTGGAGGATCGCAAGACCCGCTTCGTGTGGGTGAGGCCGGTCGTCAAGAAGTCCGACGTGCTGCGGGAGTTTGAGAAGTGGGTGCTGGTGGCTGAGCGGCAGACAAAGATGTCGGTGCTGATGCTGCGCTCTGATCGAAGAGGGGAGTTTCTCAGGAAGCAGTTCATCGACTTCGTGGACGGCAAGGGCATCGTCCACGACCTGACCTGCCCATACACTCTGCAACTGAATGGCATGGCGGAGCGGGAGTTGCGAACGGTGGTGGAGTCGGTGCTGACGATGTTGCTGCACATGGGCGTGCAGCACCACTGGTTGCACCTCGCCCTGCGGCAGGCCGTCTGGGTGCGCAACTGCTTGGAGAGGTCTACCGCCGGGGACGACGCCGCACCAGCTGCTGACCGGCAAGAAGCCCGGCCTGACGTTGGCGCGTGTGTGGGGCTGCATGGTGCAGTTCCTGGTCCCCGAGCAGCAGCGTGGCGGAAATCTGGCGCCGAAGGTCCGGTGGGGCCTTCACTTCGGCGTGTCGGAGGAGAGCTAGGGCAGGGAGGTCCTCGACCTCACCGACAACAAGGTTGTCACTACGTCGGACGTGGTGTTCTATGAGACCATGTCGCTTGAGGTGTGGAAGTCGGAGCACGGGCCGGCGTCCGGTCGGATGCAGGCCAACCCGCTGACAGACACCTCGACGGCGACACGCCCCTTGCTCGCTGAGGTCGGCGAGCCTGCTGATGAGGACGCTGAGGACGTCCTCCCTCCTCCCCCTCCTCCTGCCCCACCCCTCGTAGGCGACCTGCGTGAGCTGACGCCGGCGTCGGCCTCTGGCGATGTGGGGAGCAGTGGGGCGTCGACTGTGGCGCCGGCCAGAAGCATCGCCGGTGGCCGACGTGACGTCAAGAAAGTCGGCGTAACAGGGAAGCCGCCAACGACAGGGGAGCAGCGGGCGGTCGAGAAGACGCTGACGGGGGAGCAGCATGAAGTGAGGCCCACAGGGGAGCCGTCGGCGACCGGGCAGTCGGCACGGGAGCCGATGACAGGGGAGAAGTCTTCCGAGCAGCCGACCTTGGTGCAACAGGCTGGTGAGGACAGTGAAGCCTGCGTCGACGAAGGGGAGCAGTAGGTGGGCGAGGAGTCCACTGACAGCGACGTGGTGGAGGTCGCCGCCGAGAAGCCTGAACTGCGATGCTCAGGCCGACTTCGGGGGCCGCCGGAGCGGCTGACCTACCATGTGTGTCTGCCGCCGGCCGCCTTTACCACGCTACTCGACGATGCGGACGCCGACATCGACCTGCCTGAGCTCGACCCCGACATGCACGCGACCCCGAGCACCGCTGGGACATCGCAACGATGACGGTGAAGGAGGCACTAGTGAGCTGGAAGGGCAAGGTGCCATGGACGAGGACCGCGCGTGGGAGTTGGTCAAGCGACCGCGCGGTGTAAACATCATGAAAACTTGGTGGGTGCTGATGACCAAGTACTACATCGACGACACGATCGAACGCGAGAAGGAGAGGCTGGTCGACTACGACGAGACGTACGCGCCGGTCGGGAGCTACGTGACGCTGAGGATCTTCCTCAGCATAGTCACCGTCCTCAACCTCAACCTGATGCAGCTCGACATGAAGAACGCCTTCCTGCAGACCAAGCTTGACCGGGTGCTGTACATGTACCAGCCGGACTACTTATTATTCTTGGTTAAAGTATCCCTGTAGGATAATTTCAACGAATTCTTACTCTCGGGGGTGTTAGGCTGTGTCAACATATACTTTATATGTTGTGTTTTGTCTATTCTAGGTGTTACTTTATGTTTCTTAGGGTTTAGGGTTATGTTTGCCATATCTTGCTTGTTTCTCCTTTCCTTACCGACGGGCAGAAAAAAACTAAAACCCCCTCGGATGGCATGCCATCCTAGGGAGGCATCAACCCTATACACGCTGACGCATGGTGTTTAGGGTTGATGCCTCCCATGTTGCATGCCTTTTGCTTGGGGTTTTAGTTTTTTTCTGCCCGGGGCAGCAAGCTACCTGGAGGGAGTCGGTTGTCGGTTGAGATATATTCTGAGGTATAGAGCGAGATAGTTCCCATGGGCCCACCTGTTGTTCAGGATCCGTCACTTTGAGAACTTACGACGAACTCATTACTCAACTAAACGCAAATCCGCTCGGTAGGATTATGCGCCTTAGGCTTAGCTACCATCTCCAATTCGAATCACTTAGAAAGATGGTCTAGAGAGTGAGAACCAAGAAAACACGTTCAGCAACTGCATGACTAGAATGGTGGAGGAAGTACAAGCATTAGAGCATAGAAAGTTGGAGTTGGAGACTCCAAGAGAACCATGAGAGGGAAGGGGTTCTCCAAGAGCTAGAGAAGGTTGGTATGAACCTTCCTCGCAGCAAGGATGCAACCCTCATCATGAGGTCCTTGAGGTGTCACATGCAAAATCCAATCTAGTTGGATTTTGCCTAGGTGTTGCAACATTTGCAACCCATGCTAGAAACATCTAGCCACCCCAATCCAAAAGTCAAAGTTGGCTTCCTAACCACCCAACCAAAGATCCCTTTTATAGTCATGTCCCAATAATCGCCCAATGTAGATAACATCTCAAAATGAGATAGAATTCCCAAAGCTTGGAAATCTTGTAACTTGGGCGACCTTGGTCGGAATAAGGCGATCTTGGTATCGTTGGAAAGCTCTGGATTTCTCCTGCATGATCAAGCATTTAAACTTGGAGAAAACACAGAGATGATAATATCCAACAGCCATGCACAATGACATATGCTCATGCAAACAATGCACGCATGAATAGCACGAGCATTCGGCAGGACGTTAGGATGACATGCACTCAGAATGACGTGCATCCAACACCACCGCCCCGTACCCGCCCGTTACTAACCCGTTACCCGTAGCGCCCCGTCGATTTTTGCGCCCCGTTCCTAGGATCACACTGCCCGAACGCGCCACGACTTAGTATGGCCCCCATGGGCCCGCGAAATCGCCATAGAACGACCCCCGCGGGTCCCCCTTCCCTCCCCCCCGTCGTTGCGACCTAGGCTCGCACGCGCGCACGCACGCTAAGGCCGCACGCGCGCACGCAAGAAAGGCCCCTTTGCGGGCCCGCTAGATTGCCTCCCCGTCCCCTTTACCATCGCCTCCCTGTCCCCTTTCCCGTCACCTCCCCGCCCCCTGTTTTTCCCGTCGCCTCCCCGTCCCCATTTCGCGCCTCCTACCCGTCCCCTTTCCCCGTCGCCGACCGTCCCCAATTCCCGTCGCCTCCCTTTCCCCTTTTCCCGTCGCCTCCCGTCACCTTCCGCCCCCTTTCCTATCGCCTCCCCGTCGCCAGCCCGTCCCCTCCACGTCGCCTCCACGTCCCCATCCCGTCGCCTCCCCCTTCCCTCCCGACCGATTTCCCGTCGCCTCACCGTCCTGTACCCGCTCCCCCACCCTGTAACCGCCGCCCCACCCTGAACCCGCCGCCCCACCCTGTACCTGCCGCCCCACCCTGTCACTACCGCCTCACCCTGTACCTGCCACCCCACTTGACCGCTTCCCACCTCTCACGACCTACCAGAATTGCTCCCATCGCACTAGACCCCCTCTCAACCGCACTCAACCGCATTGAAACGCTTCCAACCGCGCTCAACCGCACTGAACCGCGCTAGACCGCACACGTACCCGTAACCGTTACTACTAGTACCCGTACCCGTCTTCCCTACACGTACCTGCTACCAGTACTTGCCACACGTAACAATACCTCACTAGTTATACGTCCCGACCACTCTAGCGATGGCTACCTCCCGTGTTTTGACGTTCGATCCTGAGGGGCGCCTGGTAGACTTTGCGGGATGGCTACGTAAACTCAAGCTCCATCTAGGGAGCAAGTGTGAGAACGATGTGCGCCTAGTCGAGCATGCCACTGGCAAGCTGCAGGCCCCCCCCCCGAGCCCGACCTTCTTGGTCCCTCCCCGACGGAGGAACAGCAGGCCCGCTTTGACAAGGCACAGTTGGAGGCCAGTCGCTGGGCGGCACGGGACGATGCTACCGTCCTCGCCATCCTCAACCTCCTCCCGCCAACCAAGCAGTCCCACTTTGACCAGCAGGTGACGGCCAAGGGCCTGTATGACGCTATTGTTCTTCGCTACTCCACCCCGACCACTGTGTCCCTCGGCCGTCACGTTATACCGTTACTTTTTCCCGAGCTATCCTCGTTTGACTGCGTTGCTGATCCATTCTGCACTTGCGCTCGCTCGACGCTGGGCTTCGCGCTGCTGCCCCTGACCAAGCCTTGCTTGCTACCATGCCCCCTGCGATCTGGATGACACTGTACCTCCTTGCCACCCGCCTCCCTGACCGCTTTGCCTCCGCTCGTGACCACTTTCTCACTATCAACCCTATGACCCTCACTATTGACCTCTTTGAGAAGAGGCTCCTTGCTGTTGACGATCTTGCCCGCTCCCTTGCTGCTGCCACCAGTACCGTCCTCCCCCCTATCTTTCAGGGGTGTGCCCCGTCCTTCCTTGCCTCCCCTCTGGCCACCGCCTCTGTTGCTACTATGACAGAGGTGGCGGCAGTTGCCTCTGGCAACAAAGGGGGCAAGAAGGGTGGCAAGAAAGGAGGAGGTGGTGGTGGCAGTGGGGGAGGCGGTGGGGGTGGTGGTAGAGGGGGTGGAGGTGGCAGTGGAGGAGGAGGTAGTGGAGGAGGAGGCAGTGGAGGAGGAGGTAGTGGGGCGCCCCAGCAGCAGCAGCAACCACAGCAGCAGCAGCAGCAGCAGAAGTCGCAGCCAAAACAGCAGCAGCAGCCACAGCAGCCGCAGGAACAGCAGCCTCAGCGGCAGCAGCAGCAGCAGAAGTCGCAGCCACAACAGCAGCAGCAGCCACAGCAGCCGCAGCAACAGCAGCCTCAGCGTCAGCAGCAGTTCCAGGGTCTGCGGCAGCAGTCTCTGCAGTGGCCCCAGCAGCAGCCGTGGAGGCCGACCGGACCGGGGAGCTCTGTCAGCAGCGGCGGCCCGCTCAGCTGGACGTCGCGTGGCCAGCCCCACCCTCCCTGTCAGTACTGGGTGCAGATTGGGCCACGCCACAGCCGCACCTGTGACCGCCACCACCCCCCTGGTCAGTGCTTTGCGCAGCTCACTGACCGCTACCGGGCGCAGTTTGGCCGCAGTGCCATTGTCCCCGACTGGGCCTCACTGCTTCGCACTGTTGGCCCGTGGCTCTTGAGCATGTCTGCTGCAGAGTTAGATGATGTTGTACGATCTGTCTCTATGATGTATGCTGATGACTCTAGTGTTGAGCATTCTGGTTATTACTCTTGTTTGTATAGCTTAGGTGCTGTAGAGGTTGCTAGTGCTTTCCCTGCTAGCGTAGCTTGCCCAGGTTCGACCAGTGAGGATGCGTCTCTGTCGTTCACCCTCGACTCTGGGGCGTCCAGCTGTTTCTTCCGCGACTGCACCGACCTCACACCACTACGCACTCCTGTCACTGTTGCCCAAGCCGACTCCACAGCGGGACCAGTGGTTGCTCACATCACCACCACCCTCCCGTGTCCATCGGCTCCCTCTGGGGTCCTAACGGGTTACTACACCCCCTCGTTCTCCAGGAACTTGGTGGGTGTCAGTCACCTCCACGACCTTGGAGTAGTTACCACTTTCCCTCTACACGAGCCTGTTGCCTCCTGCACACTCGGTATCACTGGGGCGCCTCTGGCCACTTTCCCCAGGGAGCCAGGCTCTAGTCTGGACCCAGGGCCATTGTGGGCTCCGCCTGCACTCGGACTGTGGTGGTGAGTTCTCTTCCACTCGATTGGAGACGTTATGTCAGGGTCTGGGGATCATCCAGTCTTACACGCTACCAGACTCGCCGCAGCAGAACGGGGTAGCCGAGCGACGCATCGGCCTGGTCATGGAGGTTGCCCGGACCTCCATGTGCCATGCCGGTGCCCCCCAGTTCTTGTGGCCTCAGGCAGTCCGCTACTCCGCGCACCAGCTGAACCTGTGGCCTAGTGACGCATGGCCACGGGTGGCGCCGGTCTTCCTTCGGACGGGTTCTCGAGGTGTAGCAGCTGACTACCGTGTCTGGGTTCTCTGGCTCACGTTCGCGCTCCTGCCGCGAACAAGTTGTCAACGCGCACTCGTGCCTGCGTCTTTCTTGGCTTCCCTCTGGACGCCTCCGGCTGGACGTTCTACGACCCAGTCACCCGCCAGTTCTTCAGTTCTCAGGACGTCACTTTCGACGAGTCGGTCTCTTACTACAGGAGTCGCCCCCAGCATGTACAGGCTGAAGCAGTCGCCTCTGCTGTGGCAATCGGCGCTCGACGCAGTGCTGACCGGCACTGGCAGGAGCAAGAGCCAGGTCGACGAGGCTCTCTACTTCAAGGTCGGCGACGACGGTGTGACGTGCTGGGTGCTCGTCTACGTCGACGACCTGCTCGCCGCCAGCAGCAGCACCGCGATGCTGAAGGAGCTAAAGGGGCTGCTGGAGGCCACCTTCAAGCTGCGCGAGATCTCGCCGGTCGAAAAGTACCTCGGGCTGAAGATCGTGCATGACAGGCCGACGAGGAAGCTGTGGCTCCATCAGCAGGCCTACGTCGACAAGCTGCTCAGGCGCTTCGTCGACGAGGAGCAGGGCAGTCGCATCCCATAGACGCCGGTCTCCGTGCGACGACAAAGAGGCTCAGGAGCGCGAGGAAGAGAAGTACCGGCAGAAGGTCGGCCTACTGCAGTTCGCAGCAACGACGACGAGGAAGGACATCGCCTTTGCGTGAAGCAAGCTGGGGAGTGTTAGAGATTAAGGACGGAGTCTATGAAGATTAGGGGCTGAAATATCTCAAAATCGTCAACTACAATTCTGGACAGAAAAGTCGTCGTCACAAGAAACGTCGTCGACGAAAGGTCCACAGTTAGAATTCGTTCAAACTCGAGTATGTTGTAGCCCTTGACCGTGGCTAGCTTTCCCAATTTGAATAGTATCAAAATATGGAGTATAACTCGAGTTATGAACTTCGGCGCACTAGGGGGTATGCTGCCATAGAAAACGTAACTCAATCACAATGATCTCACAAGTTCACACAAGAGAATTGAAGTAGCACTAAACCAGGTGGAAGGGATGAGGAGGACGAGAGGGAAGGTCCCAAGGAGTCCCCAACCAAAGGAAACTCCATGCCACACAATTCCCTTCCCCATAGGCAACCCAACTTTGACCTTTGTCACTATCCCAACCTCCACAATCCACCTCAACCCAACTTGGCCACACTTGCCAACCTGGTTTGGTTTCTCCCAACCATTTGGCAGCAACTACAGTAGAAAAGACGAATTTCCCAACCCCCAAAAGTCTGTACCCCATATTGAGTCAACCCCACAACTTCCCACAGTTGCCACAATCAAATATGAAAAACATACGAACTCCAACGTTCGTAACTTTCTTGTTCGTGCTCCGATTGAAGCGATACTTGGTTCGTCGGAAAGCTCTTGAGCAGAGGAGTCACTTCAGATATCTGCTCAAGCCAAATAACATTCACACACACACTCAGAAAAACCAAACCGCACAAAACACAAATTCTTGCACACACTCACAACACGCATGCAACGCACGAACATATGATGGGAGGCAGACAGACGTGAATGCGAATGGTAGCATCACTCAACAAACTCCCCCTCTGGCTGCCAACCATCATCCCACATGCCATAGCTCAAGCATGCATCCTCAATGCACACTCATCCCAGCAAGCTTCATGCCCTTCCAATGCTCAGATTCAGCCAGGCGCTTGGTGAGAATGTCAGCCGCCTGCTGATGGGTCTTCACAATCTCCAGCCGCACCTCCTTGTCCAGGAGCCTTCTCACCCAGTGCCACTTAGGCCTGATGTGTTTGGTCAGCCCATGAAGACAAGCATTCTTCGCTAGCTTCACCGCCGACTCATTATCACAGAAAATCACAGTCGGCTCCCTCTGACCAACTCCAATCTCCTCCAACAAACGCCTCAGCCACACCACCTCCTTTGCCCCATGATGCAGGGCCATGTACTCTGTCTCACACGAGGACTGCCCCACCTCATTCTGCTTCTTACTGCGCCAGCTCACTGCACCACCTCCGAACAGGCACACATAGCCTCCAATGCTGGTGCCATCCGCTTTCACCGAGTTGAAGCTAGCGTCAGTGTAGCAGGTCAGGAGCATCTCCCCCTTGCTCAAATCAGCTGCACTCCTCTGCAGCCTCTGCCTCACAGCACTGTACTCCAAACCCACTGATGCCGTTGCACTCACATAGCGGACCAACCTCTTGGCCGCTTCCAGTTGCTCATGACTGGGGCGTGAAACCACACTGGCAAGCCTGGATGTTGCAAAGGCAATGTCAGGCCGTGTGTGGTTAGCCGCATAGTTGAGTGCCCCAACCATGGAATGAAAAAGTTTCCTGTCACTCTCACCCACCACCTCCTCATCAGCACAGGGCTCCACAGTGAACCCCGAAGGCAGTGGGGTGGCTGGCTTTCCTCCATCTTGCAGCCCATACTTCTCAGCCAGCCCCTCACAATACTTTCTCTGGTGCAACCTCAACACTCCCTTGTCAAGGTCCCTCTCCACATGCATCCCTAAATAGTACTTCACATCTCCCATCTTGGAGCACTTAAACTGCATCTCCAGCATCTCCTCCACATGCTCAATCATTGTAGACGACTCAGAGAAGAGCAGGATGTCATCCACATACACCAGGAGCATGAGAAACTGCTCCTTCTCCTGCAGCAGGAACAAGCTGTGATCACACTCACTCTTCTTGAAACCCCCAGCCAGCAGAGTCTCCTCTAACTTGTGGTACCATGCACGAGGAGCCTGCTTCAGGCCATAGATGGCCTTCTTCAGCCTGCACACCCTGCCGCTCCCATCATCCAAACCCTCAGGCTGTAACATGTACAGCTCCTCCAGAATGATCCCATTGAGGAAGGCGGTGGTGATGTCCATCTGCTTCACCCGCCATCCACGGTTTGCTGCCATTGCCAATGACACCCGAAGTGTTGTGCCTTTCCCCACAGGAGCATAGAGCTCGTTGAAGTCCTTTCCCTTTATCTGCTGAAACCCCTTAGCCACAAGCTTTGACTTGTAGCGGGTCAGCGCCCCATCAGGTCCGTACTTGTGCCTGAAAATCAGCTTGGAAGAAATGGCCTTCTTCCCAGGTGGCAGCTCACACAGCTCCCACGTCTCATTCTCTAGCAGAGAATCATACTCCTCCTTCACACTCTGCTTCCACTTTTCAGCATCGGGCCCGCTCAATGCCTCAGCTAGCGTCTTGGGCTCAGGGACGGCTGCCCAGTAGCAGTGTGCTATCTCATCCTCATCACACTGCTCAGCCACACTCCCAGCCCTTACCACCTTTGGCTTGCCACGGCTTGCATAGGTCAGCCTGTTAGGAGGGCGCACATCCCTCCTAGGACGGTCAGCCGTACGTCCGGCACCTTGTGGAGCACCTTGCTCCTCCTGCTGCTGCGGCTGCTGCTGCTGTTGCAGCTGCTGCTGCTCCTCCACCTCAGGTTCTCCCCCATCCTCTGTCACCCCAGAGATCTCATTCTCAGAGACAGAAACCTCCACTTGCCTTGAAGGCCGCTGCACCTCATCGGCCTCGACAATTAGCGGTGTCGTTGGAAGCTTCTGCTGCTGCTGCTGCTTCCACTCCTTGTAGTACAAGGACTCAAGGAACTTCACATCCCTTGACACAGTCAGCTGCTGGCTGGTCAAGTCCCAAATCAGCCAGCCCTTGTGATCCTTAGCAAGCCCCAAGTGCACACCCCATCTCCCAGAAGCTTCCAGTTTTCCCCTCTTCTCCTTAGGCACATGAAACACTACCATGCACCCAAAGGCTCTCAGCATGTTCACAGCTGGTGCAATCCCATACCACTTGGTGTAGGGGACCCACTGCTTGTCCCCCACAGTCGCCAGCACCCTGTTCTTCACAACAACGACCTGCCGCAGTGCTGTCACCCAAAACGGATCCGGCAGCCCTGCACGCCCAAGGAGAGTGCGAGCACCTTCCTGCAGGGTCCGGTTGAACCGCTCAGCCACGCCATTCTGCTGAGGGTTGTAAGGCACTGTGAGCTGATGCTGGATCCCCTTCCGCTTCAGCTCCTCCTCAAAATCAGCGCCGATGAACTCTCCTCCGTTGTCAGTGCGGATCACCTTCACCTTGTGTCCGCTTTCCCTTTGTGCTCTCGGCATCCACTCCTTAAGAACAGCCGCTGCCACCTCCCCCTTAGTCTTGAGAGGGTACACCCACACCGCACGCGTGTGGTCGTCCACAATCGTCAAGAAGTAGCGGCTGCCCGAGAGAGAAAGGGCCCTCGTGGGGCCCACCACATCCATGTGCACTAGTGCAAGTGGTGCCTTGGCTGGTCCTGTGCTGCTGCTGAAGGGAAACTTCGTGAATTTGGTCTCAAGGCAGGTAGGGCAGCTCCCAATCTCCTTTGCTCCCCCCTTCACCTCCAGCCCCTTCAAGCACCCATCCTTTACCAACTTCTGCAGCATAGGAATGTTCACATGGCACAGCCTCTCATGCCACGTCTCCCAATCAGCCTCACCACTCCCAGATGAAGCCTTTGCCCATGCAGCTGTCGCATCCACACCAGCAAGCACCTCACCATGTGGCTGTTGTGGCTGCTGCACCTTCTTGACTGCATCCAGGGCCCCAGCAGTTGGTGCAGTCTCCTCTCCTCCCGCAGTTGCTTTAGCCGCTGCCGCTGCCTTTGCCGTTGTTGGTGGTTTCCCCTTCCAAGGGATGATGGGCAGCTGCCACAAGTCCTTGATGCAGCTGCTCTTCTCCTCCAAGTTCCACAGCAGCAACTTCCCAAGCTTTGCACGGCAGCTGGTTGGGCCGAAGGTAACTTCAGCCTTGCTCTTCTGCAGCCGGCGCACAGAAAGAAGGTTAGCGGACAAACCTTCAACCAACAGCACATTCCCAAGCCCCACAAGCTCTCCATTGGCTCCCATCACCTTGGCATTCCCAACACCAATCACAGGGAGCAAAGCACCTGAAGCGGCAGCCACAAACTTGATCTTCCCAGGAGGTTTTACCTCATCAAGCAAATCTGCCCGTGGGGTCATATGACTCGTGCAACCTGAATCGATCACCCAGTGAGTGAGGGGGTGCATCACAACCTTCCCAACTGAACCCACATCACCCCCACTCCCTTGCACATCCTCAACCATGAGGAACATCCCAGGGTCGGCTTTACCTTGTGCACCATCACCTTGTGCACCTGAACCTTGCACAGCGCCACCGCGTGCACGTTCACCACTTGGCGGCTTCATGCCTGGAGGGGTCCATCCCTCAGGCCGGCTGAAACACTTGAACCACGGGTGTCCAGCCTTCTTGCAGTACCAGCACGCACCCTCCATTCGGGTGCTCTCCCTACCACCAGAGCTCCCATGCCCCTCATTGTAGTCACCTCGGCCTCTCCCTCTGCCAAAGCCTCTCCCACGGCCTCGGCCTCTCCCTCCCCCTCTTCCTCTGCTGCCTCCTGCAGCTCCATACCCCTCAGCAGTTTTGTTGGCAGCACCACCTCCCGTGTGGCGTCTGCGGAAGTCCTCCTGCAGAATCTGCTGTCGTAGCCACTCAGGCGTCCATTTGTCCTGCTGAACGTTGAGGGTGGGGATGAGGTTGTCCCACGAGTTGTCGAGCACCGAGATGATCTTGGTGCACTGTTGCATCTGCGACACTTCGCTGCCCGCCGCTGCCATCCTCGCATAGGTGTCCTTGATCTTGTCAAGGACCGGTTTCACATCATCTCCCGGTTTCATGGAGAGGGCAGCCAACTCCTTCTCCAACACAATCACCATCGGCAGCGTGTTGGGCTGAATCACGTCGCGTAGCAGCTTCCATGCCTTCGGTCCGGAATCATCCAACTCCACCAAATCCTTGATGTGCTGGAACATGTCGTTGTTGACCGATTGGAGGATGAGGTCGTACAGCACCGCGCTCTTCTCAATCCACCGATCGCGGGCATCTCCTTCCCCCGGCATCTTCTCCTCTCCCATTGCAATTTTTAGCAGCTTGTAGCGCTTGAAGGCGCTCCGCATCCGCCCGCTCCATTCCTCATAGTTGGAGCCATCCAAAGCTTCAATCTTGGATGGTGGCGGCTCACTCCTCTTCTCAGCTGCATCTCCACTCCCTTGATTCATCTCCTCTGCTCCCAATCAGAGGTTTCAGCTCCCCCTTTTGCTGGTCACAATGTAGATTCACACAATCTTCACAAGTGTCAGCGCCAACGAAATTTCGGCAGAGTTTCCCCTTAGCGGAAGTCACATCCAACCTCCAGAACTCCACTTAGGCACGCCCACAGGCCATGGTGGGTCTAGGAGGGTCTTCACACTTCAGTAGACTCCCCACAAGGTCCTTAATCACCTCTGATACCACTTGTTAGAGATTAAGGACGGAGTCTATGAAGATTAGGGGCTGAAATATCTCAAAATCGTCAACTACAATTCTGGACAGAAAAGTCGTCGTCACAAGAAACGTCGTCGACGAAAGGTCCACAGTTAGAATTCGTTCAAACTCGAGTATGTTGTAGCCCTTGACCGAGGCTAGCTTTCCCAATTTGAATAGTATCAAAATATGGAGTATAACTCGAGTTATGAACTTCGGCGCACTAGGGGGTATGCTGCCATAGAAAACGTAACTCAATCACAATGATCTCACAAGTTCACACAAGAGAATTGAAGTAGCACTAAACCAGGTGGAAGGGATGAGGAGGACGAGAGGGAAGGTCCCAAGGAGTCCCCAACCAAAGGAAACTCCATGCCACACAATTCCCTTCCCCATAGGCAACCCAACTTTGACCTTTGTCACTATCCCAACCTCCACAATCCACCTCAACCCAACTTGGCCACACTTGCCAACCTGGTTTGGTTTCTCCCAACCATTTGGCAGCAACTACAGTAGAAAAGACGAATTTCCCAACCCCCAAAAGTCTGTACCCCATATTGAGTCAACCCCACAACTTCCCACAGTTGCCACAATCAAATATGAAAAGCATACGAACTCCAACGTTCGTAACTTTCTTGTTCGTGCTCCGATTGAAGCGATACTTGGTTCGTCGGAAAGCTCTTGAGCAGAGGAGTCACTTCAGATATCTGCTCAAGCCAAATAACATTCACACACACACTCAGAAAAACCAAACCGCACAAAACACAAATTCTTGCACACACTCACAACACGCATGCAACGCACGAACATATGATGGGAGGCAGACAGACGTGAATGCGAATGGTAGCATCACTCAACAGGGAGCGGCCTGGCGGCGAGGAGCGACCAGCATTGGCGCGAGATCAACCGCTGCCTTGCCTACCTCGCCGACACCCGTGACACCGCCCTGGAGTTTTGCGGTGGACCAGAGTCGCTGTGTCTGGTCGGCTACGTGGATGCCGACGACGTCAGCGACAAGCAAAGCCGGACGAGAACGGGTGGCGAAGTGTTCATCTTCGGCGGGGCCGCCATCTCTTGGATGAGCCAGCGCATCAAGTGCGTGACGCTCTCGTCGACCGAGTCGGAGTACGTCGCGGCCACCAAAGCCGGCAAGGAGGCACGCCGACTTCGCTTCCTCCATGCAGAGTTCCAGCTGCTGGACGCTGGGACGCCGACCGTCCTTCGGGTGGACAACAAGTCGTCCATCACGGTCGCCGAAGGCTTGGGGCTGAAGGGCAACCTCAAGCACATGGAGCGGCGATATGCCTGGCTGCAGCAGATGGTGAAGCGCGGGAAGTTCATGCTGAAGTACATACCGACCACCGAGCAGCCGGCCGACTTCCTGACAAAGGCGCTGCACTTTCCGGCCTTCAACTGGTGCTCCGTCGCAATCGGCCAAGTGCGTCCGGCCGACGTCGGCGATGGTGACGACGACATGCAGCAGTAGGCACCGTGCCCTTTCTGCACGGCTGGTGCGATGACCGGCGTGCTGTGTGTTGTGTGCACGCCGACGACGATGAGTTTTCTCCGTGGAGTTTATCCTCTGGGTTCTTGGCGGCCCTAGTGAGTGGGGTGCCCAAGCGTGAGCGCGGCAGGTGAGTGTTGACGGGAGTTGGCCCCGCCCTCGCTTGGGCGAAGCCGACTTGGACCGGTGTGGTCGACAAAAGGACTCATCAACCTGGGAGGGAGGCCGACTTGGGAGACCGAGTTGAGGCCGACCTCGGGAGGCCGACTTAGCGAAGTCGGCGACTAGCCTCGAGGTGGTCTACAAACGGTTCGTCGACCTACGGAGTGGCCGACTTGGTGAAGTCGGCGGGTGGCCGTCGACCTGGGTGGTCGACGAGCACGTGCAGCAGTTGGTTGACTCCTACCGCTCAAGTCGACGTTCGACTTGGTGGTTTCCCGGTCGACCAAGTTACCCGGGCAACAAGGTTCTGCGGGGTGCGCAACCGTCGCCTAGGTGGTTTTGGCGAAGCCGACCTCGGGCTGGTATCCCGAGGTCGACGTGGCTCATTAAGCGCAGTCAACGGCACGTGGCCGACATGGCATCTGCGCCGTGCACGTGACGGTGTACGTCGCACCAACCACATGCAGGCACCTGCGAAGTAGGTGCACACATGTGCGCTGTTGTTACCTGCGGTTGCAACGGCAAGCCGACTTGCTACGTTGGTAGCCGCCTTGATGCAGCGTTGGCAAGCCACCACTTGATACGTTCGTAGCCGCCTTTCTGCAACGCTGGTGCTGTGCCACTCTGTAGTGCTGGCAGGTCACCGACTTTGCTGTGCTGGAGGTCCACCAGTCTGTGTGCGAGGCAGACTTGCTTCTGATGTAGTCAGTTTTGCCATTGTTGTTGCGATCATTGTTCAATCATTGTTGTGAACTCTTGCTAGTGAAACTCTTGCCAATTCTTGTTGTGAATGCGCAAGTAGAGAGAACACACAAGGAACGCTTCGATCACTCAAACAAACCGTGCCTTCCCCCGTAGTCCAGCTCCCGGTGTAGAGTGACTCTCTACAGCGAGCTAACTCTATCGTCCATGGGTTAGCAGGGGACTGTTTAAGAAATAGTATCCTTACCTTGCTTCGTAGAATTATCGACCTTCGCTTTCCCTGCAGGGGGAAAAAAATGGATGTGTCATGGCTATAAAAACGCCACGTCAAGACGAATGACAGGAACAGCAACCGTCCCTGACAAAACACGTACCTCGCTGCTGGCCCTTCGCTTTAGGAGCCTGCGCACCCTCTTTGCCACCTTTTTGCGGGGTCTGTTGCCGGTCGCTGCGACGTTTACCCGCAGCTCCATTTTTTGCCAAACCCACTGGTACCCCTTTCGCACACCCCCGCTTTTCCCCTCCATCCCCTTTTGTGCTTTTTCTCGGTTTCTTGTTACCACCCTCTCCAGACTCTACCTTCACTTTACGCGCCTTTGGATTGCCCCTTGCTTCGTCCCGCAGTGTGTCCACTGCCCCGCACTTTCCAGAATAACGAGCCCTGCCCCCCACCTTCCGTGTACCACTCCCCCGCCTGCCTCGCGCAACTGGGGCCTCATCTGCCGCCACATCTTCTTCATCATCCTCCTCCTCCTCCTCCTCCTCCTCCTCCTCCTCCTCCTCCTCCTCTTCCTCCTACTCCTCCTCCTCCTCCTCCTCCTCCTCCTCCTCCTCCTCGACATCCTCATCATCCGCCTCGTCCTCCGACTCCTCCTCGTCATCCTCCTCCTCCTCGTCATCCTCCTCCTCCTCCTCCTCCGCCTCGTCCGCCTCCTCCTCCTCCTCCTCTTCCTCCTCCTCCTCCTCCTCCTCCTCCTCCTCCTCCTCTTCCTCCTCCTCCTTCTCCTCCTCCTCCTCCTCCTCCGCCTCCTCCTCATCCTCCTCCTCTTCTTCCTCCTCCTCCTCCTCTTCTTCCTCCTCCTCTTCCTCCTCCTCCTCCTCCTCCCCCCCATCGTCTTCCTCATCCTCAGCGTCTTCTTCGCGATTTTGAGGCCTTTTCCCCCTCGGTGCTTTCTTTCCCCTTCTTCCGCCAGAATTCTTCCGAGATCCGGTTCGGCCCATCTGGCGCAGTGCAGTACCCTTGGTGCTCCTTGCTTCCCTGCCGCCACGCGTCTTCCCAATTTCGGCGCCATCGTCGTCCTCATCCATGCTTGTCGTCTGCCGCCTCTTCGTACTGGTGGCGCTGGCCAGGGCGTTATCATCCTCTTCCTCCCCATTGCTCCTCCTCTGCCTACGCCTCCCACGTCCACCTGAAGGAGGAGAGCCACGGTCGCCGTCAAATTTCGCAGTATCATCGTCTATGCCACGCCCGACGTCGGCGACGTCGCGTGCCTCCTCCTGAGATTTTTTTCTCCCCCTCGTTGTCCTTCACGGTTCGCTGGGCGACCAGGGCAGCAGACACTTTGATGACGTTCGGCCGGAGCAGCGTCAAACGCTGTTGCGATGCTTCCGCAATGGACTCTTGGATGGCGGCATTCTCCAAGGGTGGAGCTTCGCCTTGGTTTCCCCCTCTCGCTGGGCTCTCTGTCATGCAATTAATAAAGGCATAAGCAAAGATGATAGCTGAAGTTAGATATAATTGCATGACAGAGGGACAATGAGAAGTAGTTCTGTAGAGAGGATAGAGCAACGGACGAGAACTAGCTAAAGCAGAGAAGCGGGAGAAGAAACTTGGCGAAACCTTAGCGAGACGAAAATGCCAACGGTAAATGTAGCCTAGGTACTTAGGAGTAGCCAAGGCAGAGATGCACTACTTGCTTGTTCTTTTCTCTCTTTACCAAGCTATGATTCTTCGCTTAATAGCTATCTGAGAAGCCAATTTAAGCCAAGCAGTTAACCTACAGTCCGCCGAGCATCTCAACCATCTACTAACTGAAGCCATGCACGTAGATGAGTACAAACAAGCAAGATATGGCGGATAAGATTCTGTTGCGATCAGGCCAGAGTTACCCACGAGAAGTAAAGGAGCAAGCGCAGGCGACGCAGAGTTGGCGAGCCCACGCCAACAGCCCGCGCGGAGATATGGAGTCTAAGAGTGAGGAATATTCGCGACGAAGTGCTTCGCCGGTCTCCCGAACCTCACAGCAGCGAAATCGTGGCGTACCGATTAGAGAAGAAGAAGGCAAGCCGGCCGCCGTCTCGGATCCGAGGACAATCGCGCATGATTTGCGATGGACGAAGAAAGAGAAGGAGCGTTGGAGGTTACGGGGAGACCGAGAGTCGCCGATACCAATGCCGGGAATGCCTACAGCCGTGCCGTCTCCGAGTCGTCAATGGGGGCAGGAGAGCCACACAGAGATACAATATCGGGAAGCCGCAGGAGATGGCGCACAGCAGGCCAGCATGGGAACTAATGAGGGAACAAGGCGTCGGTCCGGTGCAGGGACGACGCTGGAATCTGTTGCCGTTGCCTCAGGTGGAAGTTTCTGAGCGATTCATGGGAGTACCGGGGGTAGGCCCCTCGCTGAAAAATTATGTGATGTAGCTGGAAACAGTCCAGTATTGTTGGGAGCGAGACGGCCTTGGAGTTCTTCAGGAAGACGGTGTCGACGCTCACGGGGGAAGCCGAACGTTTCTATCAGGTGGTGCGAGGCGAGATATTGGAGGAGTTGGAAACCGGCCTTATTGACAATCCGACTGAACACTTCCTCCAGCTATTAAAGAAGGAATTCGTGGGGTAAACGAAGGCACGCCTGGACGCGTTCAAGGACTTCCGCCGGCGGAAAGAAGAGTCACTCTTGTCCTACTAAAACCGACTGAAGGAGATGGTGGAAGACTTGGAGAAGCAAGACGAAAGGCTGCTGGTTCAGAAGTTCGTACGCGGGTTAGACGACGACTTGAGGGCAGTAGTTTGGACGGCAGTATATGGAATCGGTAAGGAGGGGCCAAAGCCATCATTAGTGGATGCCTTATCTTGGTAAGTAACCATGTGGGTAAGTAACGCACTTTCTCTTGGTACCAACCATATAAGTAAATAACGCACTTTCTCTTGGTACCAACCAAATGGGTAAGGAACACACTTACTCTTGGTACCAACCACATGGGTACGTAACGCATTTACTCTTGGTACCAACCACATAGGTAAATAACGCACTTTCTACATGAACCGGGCCATGAGACTGCACAGTTTGTAGTAATACTTCATTTCTTGACTTACAAGATAGCAGTGCTAGCCAAAGCCATCATTAGTAGTGGAATGGGTTGGGCAAGGGTTTGGGTTTACATACAAACAGTCAAGGCAATTACGGTTGGGGAGACGGTTGCCTGAGCTTGTGTTGGTTAAGAACGGTGCGGCCATGACGGATGTAGGAGATGGTGCGCGAAGGGAGTCGCGGCAGCCAAAAGGAGCCGGCGCGGCAAGAAGGCTCTAGTGATGGTGCGACCTGGCCTGGATGCAGTGCACGAGTAGAAGGGAGCAATGGATGTCTTGAGCAGGACGTTCCATGTCAGGTACGGATTCGGCAAGCTGACTCAATCTACAGCAACGTGGCTGCAGACAACACAGCTCGAGAAGATTCTGGCCAGTCCCTACATCGGCATATCGTGCGATGAGAGCACCGACCGCTGCAGAGGTAAACACCTTATTTTATTCGTCACGTTCATCCGCGACTCACGCCTCGTCACCGAGTTTTTAGCGCTGTTGACGGTCGACAAGGCAGATGCAGCTTCGTTGTTGCAGTTGCTGCTGTCCCACTTGCAGTCGTGTGGCGTTGACCTTTGGCGCATCGTCGGCATCAGCACCGACGTGGCTTCCGTGATGATGGGCCCGAAGTCGGGCTTGGTGGCACGGCTGCGGCTTCGCATACCTCACCTCGTCTCCTGTCATTGTATTGTACACCGGTATGTGGATATCGTTGTCTGCAATGTTGTTTGGTTTATTCATTGATTATATTCTAATATACTATGTTATTGTGAGTGTGTTTGTAGGGAGGCCCTTGCCGCTAAGGATGCGGCAGAGAGCTTGCCTGTCTTCGACATGATTGATAGCACCATCTGTGCCATCGCAGAGCATCTGGGCCGTTCAGGTCCATGGCATCAGCGCTTCATGGACCTTCAGGAGGTTTTCACCAAAACCTTCCTGGGGCTGCAAGGGATTCACAACATTCGATGGCTATTACGTGGTGATGCCATCACCAGGTTTGTGGCGGTCCTGCCCGACGTCATCACGATGCTGAAGGAGTGGAGTCCACAGCTTTACGCTGTGGTGACGTCGTACAGGTTTCACTTTCTCCTACTCTTCCTTTCCGACGTCCTTGACCAGATGAGCGTCTTGAGCAGGACGTTCGAGCGACGAGATGTGCGTTTATAGTATCCATAAATCGCACCGCCCCTGTATATGTATGCGATAATGTTTATTGTACTGTGTACGATTTAATATAACACCTTCTCTATTGCTTGTGCTTTGTTTCCACCCCAGCTCGATCTGTCTGCTGTTCATCCGCAGATTCGACGTACAACGGGACATCTCGAGTCCCGTTACGTTGACTGCGGGGATTAGTTCGGCGGCGGTCTCAGGCCAAAGCTTTCGCCATGGCTTGAGAAGCATGGTCCTGAAGGCACCCGGGAGGTCTGCATCGAGGGCGTTGTCTCCGAAGGGCAGCCGTACACCTTCAAATTCACACTGCATGAAGATCGGCTGGACGGTTACCCTGGACCCGGGCACCACGACGCTTGCCTGAACATCTGCACCGAGTTCGCAGAGCTCATCGTGGCCAACCTATTGGATCGGTTGGGCGACCTTGACAAGCTGTCGGGCATGCGCTTGTTCACTCCCGACTCTTGGCCGCTTGGCAGGCACGAGCGCCACGCGAAGTGTGAGGAGTTTCTTGAGTCGCTGATCACTCTCTTCCGGGCGGATGACTGCGAGGAAATCATACCTGGTGAGCCCATTCCCTTTGGTGTTGCGTGACGCATCTCTAAATTGCTTTGTTTCATGTCAGATTTCGTTAATTTCACTGTGGCATTTCTATCTATGCTTGTCTTTTCTAACTGCAGGGGTCGACAAGAAGAGAGCAGTCAAGGAACTGCGGCTGTTAATTCCCGTCCTTGCAGGTGCACCGCTGAGTGAGCGCGGTTTCCACAGCGAGGCAGGAGCACTACCCGAACCTGGTGCGGCTGTGGGTGGCGGTGGCGGTCCTGCCGTTGAGCACCATTGAATGCGAGCGCGGTTTCTCGCGCCAGAACGTCATCAAGTCCTGGCAGCGAGGCAGCCTCTAAGATGCTCGGCTCAGTGACTTGGTGTGCATGTCATTGCTCTGTTACGAGCCTAACTGGGACGAGATAGTGGAGATCTGGCGCAACTACAAGAAGCGGAAGCCGTTCAACACATGCACCATAGCCAGGCAGGAGGCGGAGAGGAGGCGGAGGGGGAAGGAGGTTGAGGCTGGAGACCAGGCCAACCCGGTAGACCTAGATGAAGAGGCTGTGGGAGATAGTGGTGACGAGGATGAAATGTGGTAGGATCTAGTGTTTGATTGTTTGATGGACTTGATTCGTATTAGCAGCAGCACAATGGTGGTGCTACACCCAGCTGCCTAGAATTGAAGTGCCGGAGCGGTTCTCGGGCGACATCAGGAAAGGACCGTTGCTAACAAGACTACATCATGCAGCTTCAAAACCTGCAAGCTCGGTGAGAGAAGGATCGGTTAGATCCAGAAGAATTCTTTCGAGGCTTGGCCAATACGCTCACGAGAGAGGCGAATACGTATCACCGCATTTCCCAGCGGGAGCTGTTAGAGTGGGCCGCAGGGCGAGCACCGGAGGAGAGGGATCCGATGGCAAGATTCCTCAGCATGTTGCGCGAGCAATTTCCGTTCACGAGTTTCGGGAATTCTTGGTAGGGTCGAGGAGTCGTTGGTGAAGATAAGTGAGGACATGAACTGCCATGACCAGAGCCGGCTGATCGGCAAGTTCTTGAGGGGGTTGAATGCGGAGCTGCAACACGATGTACATGTGCAGATATTCAACTTGGGCATGGACGCGACATTGAAGGAGGTGCATGAGGTGGCAAAGCGGGTAAATGCCAGAAGGTGCCTCTTCGAAGTGGCGAATCTCAGCTTATGAGCAGCACAGCGTGGACGGCCCGCCTGGGTGGCGACAACACTTGCACCTCAGACCGAGGGCCGGGCACGAGCGGACGTGTGGAGATGTCACAATTGCGCGCGGATGGGGCTTGTGTGAAGGGACTGTCGAAAACTCGCGGCATGTTCGCTGTGTGGGGATCGGGGGCATATGCGCTGGGAGTGCCGAGAGGCGCCACTGTGCGAGCGACACGGCAGATGCGGCTATCTAAAGAAGGGCTTCTATGGGAGTGAGGAAGGAATGGACCGTCAGGTGGAGATCGCGCGCCTGAAGGCACAACACGCGGAGCTAGAGGCAGGAGAAGAGAGACTGTCGAAATATATCTTTATATATATTTTGTGTAACTGTGTGCAGTGTAGCTGTAGTGTAGTTACCATGCTTTCCAGTTGGTGGTGCACCTCCTCTTGCTCTATTTCTTGTATAACTTGGGCCTTTGGCCTTTTAGTGAAACCCCTTCGTTGGCTTGCCATCTCTCTTGCCTAGCCTAAATCCTAGACCACTAGCTCTATGTTATGAAGCTATCTCAACATGTTATCAGAGCTATTCCTTCATGCGGACTCCTTTTTAATGGGCCCACCGTTATTCATGGCGCCCCCTGTCGCTCCCTGCTTCGTGCTGTCCGTCGCGCAGCTTCCGTCCGTCACACTGCCCGTGACGGCGAGCTGCGCGATGGCGCCAGATGCGGCCCCAATTCGGCTTCTCGTCGCGCGCCTTGTGGCCCCGTCCGTCGCCTGCCCCCCGCTCGTTGCACCCCGTCCGTCCCGCGCTGCCCCGGCCTGTTCCCCGGCTCGTCCAGCGGCGCGCAGTCTGCAAGCCCCGCGCGCACAGTCGCACGCACGCAGCCGCGAGCGCGCAGCTACACGCATGTCAACAGCCGCGCGCGCAACTGCAGTGAAATGCGCAGCTGCAGCCGCACACGCAGCAGCAGCCGCACGCGCGACTATAGCGTCACGTGCAACTGCAGCCGCCTGCTGCACCGCCGCCCGCCATTTTTTCCCCCTCTCGCTGCTGCTCGTGCACCAAGGGGGGGGGGGGGGAGGGGGGGGGGGGATGGTGTGGGGGTGGCGGGTGTGACCAGAGAG